CTCTCTCTCTAAAAAATTTCATTCCAAAAAAATATTGACATAGTTTAGTAGCCAGCAATGAAATGGAAAGTTGTGTAAATAGCGATAATTATATCTGTTTAGAAAAATTTTTGTTTTTTTTTTTCATTACTCTAAAAAGTAATTTTAATGGATTAATTACAATTATTTCACGATATTTGCTAATTAAGTCAACTTGAAGTAATTAAAAGTAATTAATAGTTCAAAATTAATTACAATTATTTCACGATATTTGCTAATTAAGTCAACTTGAAGTAATTAAAAGTAATTAATAGTTCAAATTTTAAATGTAATTAATAGTTTCAATTCTAAATGAAATTATACCAAATTTTGGCAGTTACATCTGTATAGATTTTTAAAAAAATAAATGAAAGAAAAAAAAATGAATGAAGGTGATGAGAATATTTTAAAATTAAAGAAAGGGAAAAGAGTATTCCTATTATTTAAGTTAGTTCTAATTAATTAAAAGTAGTTAGTAGTTTAAGTTTCAAATGATTAAATAAAATTATGCTAAATTCTAAAAGCTAATTAATCTGTTTTTTTTTTCAGAAAAAAAAAAAGCAATAAAGACAATAGAATGAAATGAAGTGAATATTTTAAAATTAAAAAGAGAGGGGAATAAGAAGAAAAAAAAATGAAAAAAATTTGAAGAATAAACCTTTTGGTAATTTTTAATTAGTCATTAACATAACATGATATAAATTTCATTAAGCTATTTTGGATTTCAATTATTATCATTCCCATTTTTCTATTCCTACCATTTAAGTTAGTTTTTAAGTTACTATTATTCCTATTTTATTATTCCTGCTATTTTACTATTTAAGTTAGAAGTAGGAAAAAAAATTAAAAAAATAAACCTTTTGGTAATTTTAATCAATTCATTAACATAATATAATATAAATTTCATTAAATTATTTTGAATTTCAATTTCTACAAAGTTTATTAAACAATGTAGAGGAAATCGTCAATACAAAATCTCATTTTGTTTAAAATAAATTTAGATTTAATAATAAATATGGAAAAAAAATTAAGTCAAAAATTTACATTAATATATTTATTGTTGATAAAGTGAAATGATAAGAATAATTTGAAATCAAAGTAATTTTTTTCTTTTTTTTTATTTCATAATAATATTAAGAAAAAGTACACATATTTTGAAATAGATTTCTATTCTGTAATGTATTATTTTAAAAGCAAAAAATCAATAAAAAACAGAAAAAAGATTAATAACTCATTTATAAACTGATTAACTAATTTTTTTAAATTCATTTCTTAATTTATCAATTCATTTTTTAATTATTTATCAACGACAAACTTATTTTTTTAATCCATTTATTAACTCGTTAAAACTGATTTTTTAGTCCATTTCTTAACTCATCAACTCATTTTCTAACTCATTTCTTAACTCATTAACTCATTTATTAATTCATGAGCTCATTTTCCAACTCATTTCTTAACTCATTAATTCATTTTTGACCTCATTTGTTAATTCATGAACTCATTTTCTAATTCATTTTTTAACTTATTTGTTAATTTATGAACTCATTTTCTAACTCACTTCTTAACTCATTAACTCATCTCCTTAATTTTCTATTTTTTTTCTTTTAAAAAAAATTTTTTTGAAGAATAATAGAAATGAAGAAAGGAAGATGATAAACAATCACTGTACAAAGTGCTGCTACCATGTCATAGCTCTACATATATCTATCTATATATACACATATGCACCCGATGAATTCCTGATGATGACAATAGAAAGGCATTGGGTATGATGATGTCAACTAGGGAAGGAGGAGAGCAAAGAAGACATGGGGACATTTTTAGTTTGCTTTCTTTCCACATCACATGTTAAGAATTTGCCTTGCCTTATATATATATATATATATATATATATATATATATATATATATA